CTGTGTTATGTTCGGAGCAATCACCGCGGTAATGTTGGCCGAGTATTCGGAAGTTCGGGACTGAATCGTAATATTGACCGAGTGACCGTCCGTCACAAAACTGGAATCTCCAACTCCAGTTACAGATGCTGAGGATTTTACTTTCTTTACTTGAAGCTGATTTGCGAATCGGGACGTTATTAGATGCAGTTGGGAGCCCGAATCGAGTAGAGCTCGACAGGGAACGAAAACCCCAGAACAGTTTTTTACTAAAATGCTAGCCGTTGCTAAGAGCACAATATCATTACTAAATTCCTGTGCAATAAGAGCAGTCGAAGTGGAAGGCAGTGCAGAGGGTGAAGCAGAAGGAAGTGTTTCTTGAAGCTGTGCTCCTTCTTGTGAAGGAAAAGAAGGTGAGTTTCCCAGGTGAAGCAGGGTGTGGTGCTTAGATCCGCATGAACGACAACTACTAGAGTTGCATTGCCGAACTTGATGACCAACCTTAAGACAATTTATGCAAAGACCGAGCCGCTTCGCTTCTTGAAACCTATTCGCAGGAGACAGGATTTTAAAATTCTGACAATAAGAAATGGAATGCCCTGTATCATTACAGAATATACAAATCCAGGGGTTAGCGTTCGAGGCAACAAATGCTGATCTACGCGCATTGGGTATTCTGTTACTTCCCACCTGATTGCCCGGCGTATAGTTTGCCATGGCGAAATCCATAGTCTCCAACGTCCTGCATCGCTGCTCCAGAAATGATGCCATTGACTCCCACGTAGGAATTAAATTGACGAAGGCAGGGTCCTCTAAACGCTCTTCCCACTTTGCCTGACTTGCCGGATCCAACCTTTGGAACAGAACTTGGACGATGATGCATCCTGCGATTTGTTCTGTCGTGCCCAGTCCCTTGAGAGCACGAATATGAGCATTGAATTTATCGGACAGATCCCGAAGTGTCGAGACGGAACCACTCTGCACCGCCTTTAGTCCCAGGATCTCAATAATGTGTGCCTGAAAAACCAAACGTCGATTATCAAATCTATTTTTCAGCAAATCTAAAGCAATTGCGTAGTTGCCATCCGAAATTTCCAATGAGCGAATAGTTTCCAACGCTGCGTCCCTCAGGCATGATCGTAGATGCTGCAGCCTTTCTACGTTGGTGAGGTCCGGATGACTATCTATGATCGTGGTAAACATAGAATAAAAGTCAGACCAATTTGCATAACCTCCAGCGAATTTTGGAAGCTCCAGTGGGGGCAGCAATGCTGCCCTATGTCGAGGCTGACGCTGCTGGGGGCCAAAAACACCCGGAGTGATGCCGTCAGCAAAAGTTGAATGCGAAAGAAGCTGTGAGGTGCGCTTTGAAATTTCGGTACGAACCGATGACTTCAGAGTTACGAGAATGTCATCAAATTTCTCACTTAAATCACTTTCAATTTCCTCTAAATCCAACTCTTCGAGCTCACCGAGCACCTTTTTAAAAGACTCTTGAAGCTCATCAATCAACTCTAACCTCACATGAAGACCGGATTCGTCGCATGAAGTTAACGCCGCACTTGATAGGGAATCCACTAAGCGCTCCACTCTATTAAATAAAGCCGTTGCCTTGCGCTTTAAAAATATTGCCCTGTTTGCATCAGCGGTAACATCTCCAAAAGCTCCCGTAGGCATGGCTACAACAACAACAGCAGACGAAATGCCCGAAATTCGGCTCCAGCGGGAAGATGAGCGCAAAGCAAACGAGGGAATAACAGCCCGTTACTTGGCTATGTACGCTTCTATGTACAGCTGATTTTGCGCCTTATATGTAAATTTCCGCAATCACCAACTGCTATTTATTTATAGCGCTCACTGCATTTAAGGCCTTATGATTGTTGCTTTGGCACCGCAGAAGCAAGAATGAAAAAAGTCAATAAATAGACTTATATGATTTGCACTTAGTATTATTTATGCACAAATCACGTCGGGGTCACCAATGTTGAACTAATAAGCTTTTTTATTAGTTGTTGCTAAATTAAAATACGAATTTCAGGTTGCTTTAGGCTTGTTAACAATTTATTAGCGAGAGAGAGTACAGCAGGCGAGACGAGAATGCGTTTTATGTCGAGATCAGAATTCGTACTGATTTTACAAACGGACAGCCAGCCGAAAGCTGGGCCGAAAAATGCAAGTACACAAAAGACGAGAGAGCTAGATAAAGAGAGCTACCTTTCGCGATGCCATTAATATAAGAGATCGAATTAAGAAGTTAGTTGGCTGCTGCGGCTGCGTGACCCGACAGTTTCCTTACACCTGATACATACGTTTCCCAGAATACAATATACCATTCTACTCTATGAGTAACGGGTATAATTAGTTTTGTCTTTTTAAGGAAACTTTCAATTTTTTTTGTATAACGAAATTTTTTTTCGAATTCAGTTAGGCATTTTTTTATATTTGAATACACACAAGTAAGCAAGAAGTATTAGTTTCTCCATTAAGCGGTAATAGAAATTAGTTTCCGTGTTTTACTTTAACGATCGCCGTTTAAGAAATGCTTTCAGACGTCTTAAAATCATTCACACAGAGAATAAATAAATTTATGATTTCCGGCTTACCGGTTCAAGATCATCATCACTTTTTGGTAGTTTTTCGAATTCTTATAACAAATAACCTATACAGTTTAGACTACCAATTCAAATATAACATTACCTCATCAAACATTACCTCAGAGGAAACCGACGGCAAGTCCGATTCGTGTTTTGTTGTTATCGCTATCGCTTTCTTAGCTTGCGCTTTTTTAATTATCACAAAATTATCAATTACATAATTACGCATTACAATCTCGCTTTCCGGCTTGCAGAAACGATTTGCGTCGAATTTTTGGCGAAATGGTTACTTAGGACAAGTGAAATGTGAGCCGGTGCAATATCGTTATTCAAAAATCAAGAGTTGTTGTTGCCCATAATTCTGATCAATTTAGTTGAATTGCTTCATGCAAACGACGCATAACTCTCAAGTAATATTTCTTATTAACAGTTTTGCCGGGTGGAAGGAATTCATAGTGCAAAAAACCACGAAAAAAGAAACAAACAAATTTACCTTACTTTTTGTAGTACAACTTCAAGTAGAAGCGAAGAAACAACATTTTTTCTAGCCTACATTTTACACTGTTCACTGTTACATATCTAATCGCTGTGGTGCCGTTGACTATCTTCTTGCTATATATATTATTTACTAATGGACTGATTTTAGCAATGTATTTTAAATTGTTATATTTGAAAGTGTGGCACCCACATTTAACATGCTCAATCCCCGATTTCTAGCTTTTATTGTTTTTCGAGATATCAGATTTATACGGACGATTCGGGCGGTTTGTTGGCGCTAGAAATAGTTTTTGGTTAAATGATAGGTATGGCGAGAGCACATCATTTCAGTTAAAATGTATTTTCTAGCTTTAGAGTGAACATGGCACTCTGCTGAAGCGCAAGAAACTATAGAATCCAATTGTTAAATCCCAAATTCTAGCTTTTAAATTTTCCGAAATATCAAACATGCTAGCTTTTAAAGTCTAAACTCTGCTATTGATCCTGATCAACAATATACTTCAAAGGGTCGGAAACGCTTCCTTCATACAATTAACGGGTATAAAAACTAATTTTAAATCTGGCCATGTAAATTATGGGTGATACCAAGATTTATTTTGCTTTTATGATTTCTTCATTTTATAAACCAATGTTTAGTTTTATTTTTGCTCCTTAAATGTTTTGGAGACACATACATAGCTCCTTTGAAATGTGAAAAAAAGCTTTTCTTTAGGTCTTACGGTGTGGGATGTGGTCGTACCCCTAAATTTTTTACCTACTCAATTATAGTCTGAAGATCTTCCATCAACCTGTTACATACCTTTCAACGAATACCATCTACCCGTTAACACAACGAATTGATTTGAATTTATACAGGGATGTCACAGAAATCTCTTCCAGCCTAATTTAGCGCCCTTTAGCTCTGAAAGTTACAGAAATCGATCCAAGCTTAAGTAATCGACTAAAGCTCAACCAAACACTGGGCTTACAACCAATATTCATAAAATCAAAGAAAATGTACTCCGAAACACAAAAAAACTACGATTCGCCGATACAGCCCAAATAGAAGAAACGTTTAATTATATGTTGTTGCTTAAAGGTGTATATTATAAACAAAACAAGGAAGAATGCTGTAGTCGAGTACCTCGACTATCAGATACCCGTTACTCAGCTAAGGAAACCAAACCCGCCACCTACCCGAGATCTCAATATATGGTTATCTGGGCGGCAGACAGATTTAAGCGCTATGGGCGTTATAGTGGGCGTGGCAAACTTTTGTTTAGGTATTGACGAGACTAATACATTTCAGTTAAATCTGAAATCCCAATTCTATATCTTTAATAGTTTCTGAGATATCCGCGACATTTACGATTTTTTTTAAGTTTATAAGCGGTTTGTGGGCGATAAAGTGGACGTGGAACACTGACGAGATTGACTTGCGCTGCGCAGGAATCTCTCAAATCTTGATGCCTAATCCCAGCTTGGCACCTTTTATAGTTTCCGAGATCACAGCGTTCATACGAACAGACGGACATGGCTAGATCGACTCGGCTAGTGATCCTGATCAAGAATAAATGTACTTTAAAAGGTCGGAAACGTTCCTCCTACATGTTACATACTTTCCAACGAGTCTAGTATATCCTTTTATTATACGAGTATCGGGTATACTAAAAACATTGCCTAACAGGTGAGCTGTGGTGACGAACGCACCTGCAACATACAAAAGAAATGTTATCGTACATTGTAATAAAAAATGTGTCCCCACAAAATTTGTACACTTCTTAAAAATGTCTCAATCGGTACGCTTCAAGCACTTTGCCTATAAAACACTTTCAACATACAAAAGTTATAGTATTACATTTTTTGAATAAATAAAATCATTTTCATAAATTCTGAATGAAATAAATAAATAATTTGCCCCTCTATTTTCATATTTTCATTTAAACTTAGCTTTGTTATCGGCTACTTTGCGCACATATCAGAAAGCGGCTTGTTATTCGGATCAAGTGGTTATAGGCTGCCCCCGCGGTACCAGCATTTCAATCGAGTTTGCCCAATACAACAACTTCGTGGCAAAGGGTAAGTTAACAATGCAATCACATTTTTTAGCTGTCGATGCTTATCTACATCTACATGTAATTCTTCGGATTTATTTTTAAAGATGGGTTCAGCATCGAAGAACTATGTCCTGGGTCTGGGAAAGCAAGACCTGAAATACGGAGTAGGACAAAGCACCTTCTTCGTGGGTCCATCTTTGGTACACCCTCACTGAAGATACCATCTAACAGATTTATGAACGTTGGCTACGGCCTTGAAATTCCAGTACAATCAGTCGCTGAAGATAGCAGCACCACTGTTACTGGCTCTGAATCGGTATTTGGCACAACTCGTTCTGTTGATAAAGTAGAAAGTACCGATTACAACAGTGAAAATGCTCTGGAAAACTGCATGTGGCCAAATGCATTACAGGTAAGAAATTCAAAATCAACTAAATGCTGTTTTTTTAAAACGTTAGGTCTGCCACATTGTTTGATAATTTTTCAAAGTGTAGAAGGAACATATAGTGTATGTGTTGCAACGAAATCCGTCAGACCGAAAGCCACCTTTCCAAAATGCTTTTGTTATGTGGCCAAGTGGTCACGCTATAGGCTGCGCAACTTTTTCTACAACATTCTTTGGACGCACGATCTTTGTAGGCCACGTGTTATAATCACACCGACAAGAAAATTAAGCTCTAGAATTATAATAATAGTCAATCTAACCACGTCCGTTTAAGATCTAATGATTAAATCTGTTTGGCGTTCACATGTTTTAAGATAAGAGGTGTATATGCGAATATATTTTGTTGATCACTGGAGAGTGCCGAAAAGAAACTGCACACTTTGTTTTAAGTATTATCGAAATTTTTGTTTAACACCGCCTATTTGGTTCTTCATGTCCTACACGTCTTTTGAGGTTCTGCCATCCTTTCGTAACTATTGCCCAATATCTTTTGATTGGGAGAAGTTCTGGGCAATTTGGGTTCTCCTCTTTTAATGAGAGAAGGAACGCTATGGTGGAGCATAGTGTTTTGACACTAGATCTAGCCATAAAAATGTAGATTGCATAGTCGGATATGTATATAAATACCCTGCTTTTATGTGCAGCGAAAGGTGCATAGAGCAAACGGGACATGCCAAAAAAAACAGAACAACGGTTTAGCGGAACCGTTGTTGTTTTTGCTTGTTGTTTTTTTGGAAAGCACGCGCCTTTTTGCGTCTATTTCACTTGCGTTTACTTATGTGAAGGAGTTTGATTTACCCGCAATTAACGTAGTTAAATAAAATAAACCAGTGGCTTAAAAGTGATACCTATACGATTCCTAGGTAAGTCTGTCGCAGAACAATATTTATTTAAGCAGTGAGAGTAAAAGCAAGTTAATGTATATTGACTATCAGGTACCCGTTACTCAGCTAAAAAGAGATATGAAAGCAGCAAAGCGAGATTAAAATGCGCCACCTACCGGCGGTATACAGATTTAAGCGTTATGGGTGTTAGAGTGGGCGTGGCAAATTTTTTTTTGGATCAATCGATAGGTATTGACGAGACCAATACATTTCAGTTAACATTTTTATTCTAGCATCAAAACTGTAGCATAAAAATTGTGGGCGTCACAGGTTTTCGCGGTTTGTAGGCGTTTAAGTGGGCGTGGCAAACTTTTTTTTTGTCAATCGATAGGTATTGATGAGAACAATACATTTCAGTTAACATTTTTATTCTAGCATCAAAACTGTAGGAGCCACAGTTTTGGGCGGTTTGTGGGCGTTAAAGTAGGCGTGGCACTCTGCTGAAACAAACTTGCGCTGCGTAAGAAGCTCAGGAACTCAGGGTATAAAAACAAGAACCAGACTAGGACTCAGGAGTAGCACCAGCATACCAAATATTAGGGAGGAATCATGGTTTCATGGATCATGGTTTCGGCTAACGCATCGGGGGTTTCTAGGACCACTAGCCCCACCAATAGTACTAGCAACATCCTGAACACGTCAACTACCACTACCCTAAATACCACTTTGAGCCCCATCGATATACAAGCCTTCGTTAAACAGTTGCCTTCTTTCGAAAGGACTCTGGTACCCTACATAAATTTATTGTAAGCGTTGAGGAGATATTTATGTTAATAAGGGGAACAGATCAAACCCCGTACGGACAATTACTACTAAGAACTTTGAGAAACAAAATTATAGGAATATTTTGCACACCAAACTTGAATGGGACAGTATTAGAGAAAACCTCAAACGCATGTATACATGCAAGAAGACAGAACCAATACTTATCAACGAAATTCAGATCCTCCCCAATGGGTTGTCCTTGGGTAAATTGATTTTCGAAATCACTAGACTCCGTAGTGAACTATTGTTACTCCTCACAGACCCAGACCACGGAGTAAGTGCAACATCAAAAAGAGCTCTTTAAGATGGAATTTGCCTTAATGCCTTCTTGGTTGGGCTACAGGACCACTCAGAACGGTCATCCGAGCCCGAAATCCGACAACGACCGATATGGCTTACGAGTGGTGCCACGCAGAATTGTATTTATCAAAAACAAAACAAACCACAGAACAATAGATTCAACTCAGACCGTAATAGGGCCTTCCAGAGAAGTTCTAATCAGAACAACTCTGGTGGCAGAAATAACTACTCTTCTAATACTTATGGGCAGGATTATCGTGGAAGTTCTTATTCCTCGGCAAATCCGTTCCGTCAAGGCTCGAATCAAAGCCAGAGTCGTTTCAATAACAACAGACAGATTACTGACAACAGAGCGGGGGGGAATAACACTGATAAAAACCGTAGCAGCACTTCACAAAGGCCTGCTTCCAATTCTAACAACATTGACGACAGCTCAAATTTTCGACAAGAAGCCTCGACCGACAAGTCAGTTACATAAACAAGAAAACGCATGGTATGTCCCCTCCCTACATAGTAATCACTCTATCTAATTCTCCGAAACCACTAGAATACCGTTGATACCGGTTCTACTTATTCTTTCGTGGATCCAAACCTTATTCCGCAAGGCTCCATACAAAACAAGGAAGAACGCTATAGTCGAGTACCTCGACTATCAGATACCCGTTACTCAGCTATATGGAGATATGCAAGCAGCAAAGCGAGATTAAAATGCGCCACCTACCGGCGGTATACAGATTTAAGCGTTATGGGCTTTAGAGTGGGCGTGGCAAATTTTTTTTTGGATCAATCGATAGGTATCGACGAGACCAATACATTTCAGTTAAAATTTTTTATCTAGCATGAAAATTGTGGGCGTCACAGGTTTTCGCGGTTTGTGGGCGTTAAAGTGGGCGTGGCAAACTTTTTTTTGGGTCAATCGATAGGTATTGATGAGAACAATACATTTCAGTTAAAATTTTTATTCTAGCATCAAAACTGTAGGAGCCACAGTTTTGGGCGGTTTGTGGGCGTTAGAGTGGGCGTGGCACTGTGCTGAAACAAACTTGCGCTGCGCAGGAATCTCAGGAATCTGCGTGCCTAATCCCAGTATTGTAACTCTCATAGTTTCCGAGATCTCAGCGTTCATACGGACAGACGGACAGACGGACAGACGGACAGACGGACAGACGGACAGACGGACATGGCTAGATCGACTCGGCTAGTGATCCTGATCAAGAATATATATACTTTATGGGTCGGAAACGCTTCCTTCTGCCTGTTACATACTTTCCGACGAATCTAGTATACCTTTTACTCTACGAGTAACGGGTATAATTAGAAAATAATGTCCGAATCACAACAGTCCTGGAAAGCTATTCGCTGACCTTTAGAGCTACTCTTCCCCTACTCGTAGAATTTAAAGAATATGGTGAAATTCAGTTGTTACTTTTTAAATTCTACCCATACTTTGATGGTCTCCTTGGAATGGATTTCTTGACAGACCGAAAAGCGAATATAAATATTGAAGAACTTTAACTCGAAACCCCATCCACGTCAATTAACATTATAACAAAAGTTAATAGAGGAACCGACGAACTCTTTATCCAGCCCCTAAGTAAAACTATTATAAAACTACCAGTTAACATAAGAGAAGGCGATTTTCTTTGTAATCCTCTTAAGGTTGACAGCAATCTTTTCGTTTCCGAGGGTCTACACTGCCGCAGACGGCCATAGCTTCCTGGAAATAACTTACAACTCCGAGACTGGGCAGATCTTATGTCTCGACCAGCCACTGAACGTGGAGCCATATAACAAAGAATGTTACAATCAAATAAACGGAGTAACACTTAATCCAAGTTTCAAACAGATTAGAGGAAATTTTAGCGGGCACATCCCTGCGGACCATTTAAATGACGAAAAAAAACAATTTGTGGAAAATTTCAGGACCTATTTTACGACGACGTATATCCCTATATACATAAAGAGGAGGTCCGCAAACCAATATCTAAAATGCTCGACCAGAATATAATACGAAACATTCCCCTTGGGGCGCCCCTGTTTGGGTAGTCCCTAAAAAATCGGATTCACCCGACCAAAAGAAATGGAGATTGGTAATAGATTTCAGGAAGTTAAACAACAAAACCGTCACGGACAGGTCCCAAATCCTTAATATTAACGAGATTCTCGAAAACATTGGCAGAGCAAAATATTTTTCCACCCTATATTTAGCCAGCGGGTTCTACCAAATCCAGATGGACCCCAGAGACATGGCCAAGCAGCTTTTTCAGTAGAGAACGGACACTTCGAATTCACGAGAATGCCGATCGGGCTAAAAATCGCCCCAGCTACGTTCCATTGGGTAATGACATCTGACACCGACAGACCGATTTTTTGAAGTAGAACCTTGAATGAAGTCGAAACCCGGTATTCGACTATAGAGAAAGAGATGTTAGCGATAATCTGGGCGGTTAAGTACTTTCGCCCATATCTGTATGGCAACAAGTTCAAAGTCATTACCGACCATAAACCTTTAGTGTGGCTGCAAAACTTTAAGGGCCAAAACCAGAAACTCCTCCGATGGAAACTAACCCTTTCCGAGTACGACTACGGCATTGTCTACAAAAAAGGCTCGCAAAACGTCATTGCGGATGCTTTGAGTAGAATCGAACCGAACATACTTGTCAACGGCGTTAACCCAAGTAATTTAACCGGGATCTCATTAGCTAAGATTCCGCTTAAAACTTTCAATACACAAGTTATTTTCGAAATCGGCCAGACCCCTCACTTGTAGTGAGCACCCCATTTAAAAATAAAACACGGACGCGTATTACGGAACCATCTTTAACCTCCCATCTATAAAGATTTACAGATGTCTTATCGTTCTACACGAACCTGTCGACACTAACTAAATTAACAACCTAATAAGAACCCACCACACTAACAACAATCATAGAGGTGTGGAAGAGGTGTACCAGCATCTAAAAAGGGAAATTTACGTACCCCAACTAAAGTCTCTAATTTCTCAGGTAATCCGGGATT